GATGAAGAGCTATCTCTTCATGGCACCCCAACTAGGGTCGAGACACCCTCTTGTAGAGGAGACATTGCCAGTCCGGCATCAATCAGATCCTGGACGATCCCACGTATCACCACCGAGTTAAGGAGGCGACAAATCCCCTACCCTGACACAGTAAGGAAAGCGCAGCTATTCAAACTCCTAAACACAACAATCGACAACACGGAAGCAGGGGAAGGTCCCAGCAACACTAATTCAGGTGATATCCAGGCTATGCTGGCATCACTCATGACCTCTATGGGCAAGGTCAATGACAGACTGGCTAACCTCGAGGCGGTCACCACAGCCCTCACCAAGGCTGGTCTTCCTGATACTGCTCAACAGGCACCAACTGAACCACAGGCCGCGGGTATGGTTATCTCCTCAGATTATCAGGATGTTGACCCTGCATACACTATCTCATCCCACATTAAGAGGGACATCCTGGAAGGCAAATATGTCAACCTTGCATCCCTACTAATTGCCTCTCAGGATGTGGTGGAGAACAAAACCTATATGTACGATGAAGTTTCTGTAGTGGTCAGATCCAAAGACGCAAGGTTAAACCGTAAACTGACCATTCCAGAATTTGTGTTAGCCTTTGGTATTTTTAGAGATGTCATTTGTGAAGTGTACCCTAATAGAAGGGAAGAATTTGATCGCTATATGCACAAGCTGGTGGACCTGGGGAACAAATATGGTGGATCTGCTTTTTACGACTACCATAGGTCTTTTTCCACTAAGGTGTCTGGAGCTCTCTCTCAGTATGGTACCTGTATCAACTGGAGCAGACTAGATACAGAGCTATTTTGTAGACACTTCGCAGGTCTCAAAACACCGGCTTGTGCATCCTGCTCTTCTACCACTCACACTACCAATTTTTGTTCTCACACGGTAGACGACCGTAATCAGTCACCCAGCACAAGCTACGCGGGTAGAACTGAGAGAACCACCAGAGACAAACTGGGTCGTCCCATCATATTCTTTGGTAAATCGCAAGTGTGCAATAATTTCAATGTGGGCACATGTAGCTTTAGTGCATGCAAGTTATTGCATATTTGTTCACATTGTTTCAGGGCACATGCGCTTACCGTGTGTCCAAATAAAATGTACCCTAAACCGTACCTAACGTCTGTTAACATTCATGTCTTCTCACTACTACTAACCAATCACCCTTCCAGACATATGGTAAATTTTCTCATATCTGGTTTCTCAGAGGGGTTTCATACAGGCATTATACATATGCCCACAGGCCAACTCGAATGTCCTAATTTACAATCAGCACAACAAAACCCAATAGCCCAAGAGCTGGCAGAGGGGTTCTTGTTTCAAAACCCCACTTTTTACGGCATGGCGCACAAATCCCATAGGGATAGTCACAGGGAAAACTTCCCTCAAGCAAAGACTCATCATAGATCTGTCGGCCCCTCATACCTCATCTACACCGAGTCTGAACTCTCTTATTCCCTCCGAAGAGTTTTCCCTACAATATACCATGCTATTACAGCCATTATGCAAGCAGGGATCGGAGCATGGCTAAGTAAGACAGACATTACCAATGCCTTTAAACTACTACCTATCCATCCCACACTATGGCACTTACATGGCATCAAATGGGCAGATAACTATTACTTTTTCTCCCGCTTAACCTTTGGGTCAAAAAGTAGCCCCAAAATCTTCGACACTTTTGCTGAAACACTTTGCTGGTTGTTACTTAATGTGTCTAGATGCCCCATAGTCATCCATTATCTGGATTATTTTTTTTTACTGATTGAAGCAAACTCCTTTCCCCCCAGGAGTCTCAAAGCAACCATTAGTCTGTTTGACCACCTTGGAGTCCCAGTATCCAACAAGAAAATTGAAGGCCCAAATACAATTATTAAATTTCTAGGTATACAACTAGACTCTGCCTCCAAGCTAGTTTACCACAAGAGAAAATCGCATTAACCATTACATTTTTCTGGGTAATTGCAACCGCAAGGAAATCCAATCCCTCATAGGTTCTTTGAACTTTGCCAGGCGTATCATTCTTCAAGGGAGGGCTTTCATATCCAGACTTCTCTGTCTTTTTCCACATTTCAAACACAACAACTATAAACTATCCTTGGATGCACATGCCACGGCAGACCTATATATGTGGAAAGAATTCTTGACCACCTGGAATGATAAAAGCTTGTTCCTACCAGAGTTGACTGACACGTCTCCAACCATATGGTCAGACGCCGTGTCTACCACAGGTTTCGCAGCAATCTTTGGGAACAAATGGCTTTGGGGTCTGAAGAAGTCTATGACTTAGAAGGTTTTTTACAACCTCAGCTCTTTTTGAGATTTATCCCATTGTAGCAGCTGCCGTGGCGTGGGGACATTTATGGTCAGGCTTATCAGTCCGTTGCCACACAGACAACCAAGCAACATGTCACATCATTAACAAAGGCCGTTCATCATCCCTAACAATTATGAGATTTCTCAGGAAGCTCACGTGGTTAGCAGCATGTCACAATTTTTCTGTGGTCTGCTTTTTTGTACCAGGTATTACTAATATAGCAGCTGACAGTCTGTCTCGTTTCAACTTTCAGGCTTTTCAGCAAGCACTCCCGTCAGCAGCACTTACAGCCACAGCCGCCCCTCCGTTCCAGCAGCTAACCATGGACTAGAACTAATCATGCAACATAGCAGGGAACATAGCAGGGATCTGTCCAAATTAGCACTATCATCCAACACTCACAAAGAATACAACAGAGCCATCACACTTTTCACAAGATTCCTATCCGACCATGACATAACCCATCCTTTCGTCATGACATCTATTATAGCCTTCGCTTCTTTTTGCCACCTTACATTACACTTATCTTACAACACAATCAAATTATATCTGACAGGCATTCAACATCATATGCTAACTCTACAACCCAATACACATAGTTTCATGTCATCTTATCAGGTAAAGAATATACTTAGAGGTATTCAGAAATCCGTTCCTCCACCTCTTCCACAGAGATTACCTATAGATAACACACTTGTGACAAAGTGCCCTTAGCCACTTGGTCCTGGAGAGGCCTACTTGCCAGCCTCCTCCCCTGTGACTATGACTCTTTCATCTATCTGGCTTTAAAGCCCCTAGTCTACCTTCAGACAAACTATTTATGTGGGCTGCTTTATTTATCCTATGTTTTAGTCACCCTGTACCCATTATAGGTGCAGGGTGTGTGTAATGTAATTGTTTATAGTGTGTGTGTGTGTACTGTGTAATGTATTGCCTGCTCTCTTGTATTGCTGAGGTTTGCTACCAACTAGGTGGGTTTGGCTATGGAGCTGGTCTAGTGCCCTCTGTTGGTAGCAACAGCAATATGCACTACCTGAATTGCAAGACTGGTTCATTTGCATATTCGGGTAGATTTGCATATTGCTAATTCTGCAGGCAGGTGAGATATTTACTGTTAAATATTGTCTCCCCCCACCCCTTTAAAAATGTGCCATTGTGTTGTGATAAGTCACTGTGTGTTTCTTGATATGGTTTGACTGTTTGTGATTTTATTGAGGTTTCACAACAATGTTATTGTGGTGACTGTATTGGCTGGTCCCAAGGGAATAAAGGTTTTGACAGTTCTTCTTGATCCCTCTAAATGTAGCCTTGTCTCGTTATTGGAGGGAGCTGTTATAATCACACTGGGGATTGCTATGCTCTGCATGCTCCCCTGAGCTTGAGTCACTTAGCTCTTTTAAGAGCTTGTTCCTGACACGCTCTCCTTGGAGGAGGGGTCTTCATCACACAGTCCTGGATGCTGGAGGTTCATACAGGGTGGAAGGAAGAGTTCTTTCCCACACAGTCCTGGAGAACAGAAGCTGATCCAGGGTGGAAGGAAGACGGCGAGACTCCAGTCAAGATACGGCGCTTGCGGAGTCTGCGGTGGTTGTGGTGTCTGCTGCAGCGCTTGGAGTCCTCAGGAAGCGCTAGGAGCATCCATCAACGGAGGGTACTCGGTCGGAGTACAGGGAGCTCCGTTACAACACTTTTCCAGTCATTATGCGACCTATTAGACTCCAAACCTTTCCAAACCTTTCCACTCAACTACTACCAACTCAGTCATCAAAGCTGCCATGTGCATAGCATTCTACGGGTTCCTCAGGCCAAGGGAATTCACTACTATCACCACCACTCAAAAAGACATATATCTTCTACGCATACACCTACGCAAACACATGGATCACTACATACTGTCCCTACCTCAGTCAAAAACAAGCCAACACACACCTCCAGTGGAGATCACTTATTTTCCTACACACAACAAATGGTGTCCAGTAACAGCGCTGGATTCCTACCTTTCACTTACCCCATCAACGCCATTGCTACACCTATTTTCACTCAAAGGCTCTGTACTCACTACTACGACTTTCATGCGATACATCAGATCTCTGTTAACCATGCTAGGTCTTAACCCTTCACTCTACTCAGGTCACTCCTTCTGCATAGGGGCGGCTTCCACAGCTTCCAGCACAAACATACTGGTACATATCATTAAGTCATTAGGGCGGTGGAAGTCATCCGCCTACACAACCTACATACCAAAACCTACACAAGAATTAAGAAATGCTTTTAAAGAAATGTCTGGATAATTGTATATAATTGTTGACTGTATTAAATCTTCGGTTATTCAATTTTTGCCCTCTTTATTTACAGGCCTACCATATCGTCTGTATCGGCACACCACAACCGACTTTGCTCGTTTATTCTATCCTACTTATCTTACAACACAATCAAATTATATCTGACAGGCATTCAACATCATATGCTAACTCTACAACCCATAAGGAGTGTATTCAGGTACGTTTGAAAACGTTGCTCCCTTCGTGGCTAGCATTTGCCGTACCTTGAAATGCTCTTGAGTGCCTAGCCGTTCTCCTAGCTGGACATCTTCTAGGGAGCCTATCTTATCATCTTCCCCCAGGAGATCTGGTAGGGGAAGATTTTCAAAATCATCGGAGGCGGGCACACATATGGCTGCCACGTCCTCCGTTCTCTTATAGTCGGGTTTGAGCATGTTCACATGGAGCATGCGTCTCCCCCCACTACCAGAGCAAGGGCCGATCACTTGAACCTACTCCATAAACGGCTAAATTGCCCCTTACACAAGTGTTAAGGCCGTTTGGCCTGTATTTGTGGGAGGGGCTTAAATTAATTCACTTCCCTATATAAAGTACAGCCCTTACCTGACTCCACACCGTTCAAGGTCAGTGTCTGAATGACCCTCCCACCCACTCCTCTTTTACAACACTTTCTTTTTCAATTCTAGCTTACTTTACTTCTTCTTGGTGGGCCCTCTTTATTTACAGGCCTTACGTATCGTCGGTATCGGCACACCACAACCGACTTTGCTCGTTTATTCTATCCTACGTTCTCACTTGAACCTACTCCATATACGGCTAAATTGCCCCTTACACAAATATATATATATGTATATATAGATAGCTTCTCACTTTTTTATATATATATATATATATATATGTATTAAGGCAATTTGCCTGCATTTGTGGGAGGTGCTGGTTTTCTACCCCTAGCCTACTTAAGGCACTCCCCTTGCCTGGCTCCTTACCGCTCGAGGTCAGCGTTGAATGAGGATCCACTTCCGGGTTCTCTCAGACGCCATCTTGGTTTCAGTATCCAGGAGGTTTCACCACGTTAAGCTGTGTCCAGGAATCCTGTTCAGGCCTTTCCGCCCGTCCAGCTTCTTCTGACTCCGTTCTCCGTCGTAGATCGTGTCCCAGGGACTCCTAAACTGTAAGTCAGACCTTCCTGTCACGCCAGGACTGGTTCCCACGGCGTACGGTACAGCACGGGTCCTCGCTTTACGGCTTTTCCCTGGTTATGACACGAATGTTTCAAGCCATTCGCGGGCTTTTCATTCGTACGGTCATTCGGCTGAACATGTTTTAAATTGTTCAATAGTCATTTCGCATATCCTATTCATGTTATTTAAACGAATGTTCATTCGGTTGTTTTGCCGTTCGGCAAATTTTACATACACTCATACACGCTTTGGTTCGCATAAATCATACGGTTAAACTATTCTAACTTCTGTGTTCCCCTCACATTTTGCTTTCGGCTGTTCTGTGTGTTCACGTATAATCCTTTCATGAATTATATTCACCATTTCATGTGTATATAACATTCGGTTAAAGTATTGCTTGCTTAAATAGATTATTGTTGATTACTTTTAACAAATTGTCAGTATTGTATTACGTCCACAAATCAAGTCCACTTTCTCTGTGTATACCATTTGACTCCCACGCTTTCAGGGGTCTGCATTACTTATCCATTTATACGAATGGACTCAGCCTATGTTACAAGCCTCATTTCTGGGTTATTAATACAACATATACAAGGATAGGTTCATTTAAGCAATAATTCTCAGGTTGATACGTCTTTGCTATACATACATATCATATAGATATACATCACTTTACATCATGTTAAATCATTTTGGGGTATCCCTGCCTTTGGTCTTTCTGCTACATATCATACATAACGCTGTGTTAATTAGGCCATGACCTCATCCATGTCCCTTTCTATAAAACCAGTTACATTTTGGTACAGATCATTGAACTCCCACGCCAGGAGTTTTATAACTATCCATTTCATTTCAATTTACTCAGCCTACATTACAGGCCTCATTTCTCTGTCATGACAATGACACATAAGGCTTAAATC